TCTTAAAGCTAAAGTCATGAATCATCGCAATAGACCCTCTTTCTATTGGGATCTATCTTTCATATTTTTCCCTTTAAATATACTTTATTGTATTTGAAATGCATTCTGCTATAACTGCGTGGACAATTTTGCATTTTGTTTGAAAGAATTCATTATTGTATTTTAATATTTCTGGGCTTTTGTTTAAATAATAAATAATTTTAGATTTTGCCTAAAAGCTAGCTACATATTTATTCTGTCCGGTTTTGCCAGCTCGAGTTTTATTTATATATGGAAAAATATTGCGTAAAATAATATCAACTTTTAATAGTGCTCCAGTTTTATTTATATGTGAAACAATATTGCGTAAAATAATATGAGAGAACTTTAGAACTTTAAAGATTTACATGAAAGCCCCTATGTATATATTTGTGCTGATTAAATCAGCCCTGAATCATGTTTACCTCTATTATATATTATATATATATATTTTTTTTTAACTTGTAATCAGCATATATGTTAACCACTATCACAATCTGTCTAGCACATTCAACTTTCATATGAAAACCCTGTTTAGTCGTTTCGCTGCTCTCAAGTGTTCTGTATGGTGTCTGATCCGAGAGAAATCGGTCTTTACGCTATTATTGCTGTTCTTATTATTGCAACTATGCTGCGTTATGGCACGGAATATTGTTGCAGTCCCTGCAGGGAAGAAAACCACTTTCAAATTGATGATCGTGAACATGATTCGGATATAGAAATCACCGATGATGATTCAAGTTAGTAGAATGTGTATATACAACTGAATTTGATGATAGTTTTGTTGGATTAACAAGATAAGGTATGCTCTTAACCGTATGAGAGTTTTTGTTATACCCTATCAAAATTTGAAGAGCTCTGCGATAGTTCTTAGAGCTATGAACGTTGTGGGTGGTTAATTTTGGATAGATGCGTTGTGTTAGGCATAAGCTAAGTACAAATTAATCAAATGGGCGACAATAACTCAATAAAGATATTCAAAGCGTGAGCTCATTATGACATATTTTGATATATATATATATGTCGATTGGATGAATCGCTGGAGTTCGAGTTAGGCTTTCGACATGAACGCAACTGTTTTCGAAATCGAGTATTGGTCATTTATGACCGAGCGAATGCATCTGAATTGGAAATATGTGATATACGAAATGCTCGCTTTGGTAGCACTTAGCACTCTGGTCATTGTCTATGCCTGGTTTATAGAACGGGATGAACACCAAAATCCAGTGTTGAAAAGGCAAAAGAAATTGCAGTCCGTGAAAGTGATGACATAATAAAGTGTTAATAAAATAAGAATTTTGTATTAAATAAATAAGAGAAGTACTTCTGGATGTGTAAGTAAAGCAGGAACGAGACAGTGAAAGAGTAAGAGAAAGATTAAGAGAGAGAGAGAGAGAGACCTACTAATGGTCAGTTTATAACTAATTAGAGCTAATCTCAAGAACCACTCAAAGGTATTAAAAGCATTTATTATGATAATTATTTATAAATGGTGCTTCATAAAATTAATGGCTTATGCATTGGCTCAACAAATATATAGAACTATAAGTTAATTAATCGCTTGGATTATCTCAATACCCATAAAGTTGCCTTTAGTTATTTTTGGACTGCCTGAAAATGCACAACTATACGGACTTTACGGTTCACACCTATAGTAATCACATCATTGTCCTAATAAGCATCTGCAAGGTGCTTCTCAAGATGCTCTGCTATAGCCTGATCTTCGGATCGGTCAGTTATCTTGTGCATTATAAACGCAGTCAGCGACGCGTTAAGACTTTGGCTAATCAGCGTAAGTTATTTGAAGAGTTCACAAATCCAAATGATAATTATTAATATAGTATTTAAACGCTAGTAAAACTTGAAGAATCCAAATTAAAGTTGAAAGCTTTCACTTGAATAAGGCTAGAAAATGTTTGTACAAATTAAAAGTATAACTCTGATATTTCATAAAAATCTACACTAAGAAATTAAAGATATATTATTAGTCGATATTTCAAAGTAGCTCAAAATTATATTTGAGTGAGTTGTTCTTCTACTACAAAACATCTGTTGCATATTTTGATAGACCAAAATCTAGATCAAGAAATTAATTGTCAAATTGACAGTTTTTTTTTTTTTTGTTGAAAAACTAAAATTTAGACCAAGTTTTCTAACCGTGTAGTTATCTTTACGATTCTCGAGATTGCCCTTATATTATTTGCCTTACGAACTGGCAATTCATTGGATGACTTGTGCAATTTGTTATCGCTTTGGTTTTGGCATGCATTTTGTTAGTCTTTGCGCGTTGGCTGCGTAGTGCGTATCGTTATATTTTTGATATTTCTTAAATAAGCCATGGATAATGCTGGCATTTATTGGATATTGTTTTTTACATTATCCATTTTCTTTTTGACTTCGTGCGCGATATTCTTGACACGCGGTCGCAACCGTCGAGCGGAGCTCATGAAGGGCGCAGGTCTGTCAATGTGATCAAGTCTCTTTTCCTACTTATATATATATATATATATATACACCAAATGTGCATGTATGCGTGTGTAATTGATAACAGACGATAAGCGGATGATATGTGCAAATGTGAAAGATAATAATTGCAGCTCGTGTAATTTCCTTTCTATTTATAAACGCTCCAGTCATTTTTTATCAGCTTAAGCGATAGTTACGTACATTTTGAACTGTCCAACACTTTCAATTAGTATTAAAAACAGTTGATTTGCGCGCTTTGCAGCACTGTTTGTTTAAGCCATGAAGTTTTATAGATAAAAAGTCTAATCTTTTCATATTTTTGCGTTTTCTCTCACTTTCTAATGGCCTCTGCATCAGATCTGCGTATAAACATATTTATAGAAAGCCCTTGGTAAATACCCGCCGTAATTTATTTAGCATATCTAAGAGCTTATCAGTAAAATAACGTAACTATTGTGACTATAGCCAATTCCAACCATTCGATAGGCAATTAGTTCATATTTTGATTTTAAAGACTAAGTGTCAGTGTTATTTGGTTTATTAGCTGCAATGGAGGGTTATGTTATTGGCATTATATTATTCGTCATTGCTGTCATTTTTCAAATAGCTTGTTTTACAACTGTGTATGTGAAAAACAGAAAAAGACTCGTACGAATTGGTAAACTATGCTCAAATACTTCTGTGTTGTATTTAATACTATATTATCTATATTAAGTATCTATATTAAGTATAAAGAATTTTGTATCGTTCTAATCGAAAGTCATAAAGGTTTTTATACCCTGAACCCAATAAAAATGGGTATAAGGGCATATTGTATTTGTGCAAAATCCAAATGTATGTAACAGGCAGAAGGAAGCATCTCCGACCCCATAAAGTATATATATTCTTGATCAGCATCAATAGCCGAGTCGATCTAGCCTTGTCCGTCTGTCTGTCCGTCCGTCCGTCCGTCCGTATGTATGTACGCAAGGATCTCAGAACCTATAAGAGCTATAGACTTAAAATTTTAGATGTAGGTGGTCCAAGTGCCTGCGCAGATCGAGTTTGTTTCCGATAATCGATAGCTAACTCCGTTTCCAAGCAATCGATAAAAATCGATATCGATATCATGTTTTTGAGCAATTTTGGTAAAAATTAAGAGCTAGAGTCACCAAACTTGACATATAGCTTATAAAATAGAATATATATATGCATTTGATGTTGGATGAAGAGGGTTCAGTGTATCCCCTAGTCCGGAGCTCTCGACTAGAACCTCTTACTTGTTTTTTTTTACAATGTTGTAATATAATTTCTGTTTTCCTGCACTGTAAGTTAATTTCGTGCAAAAATGAAATAATTGTAATAGAACATATTCGAAAATGTTGTAAACCCCCCATTAAAAATGCTATCTACAAATTAGCTTATCTCGAATTGCTTATCAGCCAAATATTCTGATCCAATCAACAACAAACCGAATACAATTCTATGGGAAGTTAGTTTAATTTCGGCTTTTTGCGCGTTGCCTGCTTCGATGGAGGGTTTCGTAATTGGCATTATTTGTTTTTGTGTGTTTCTGGCAATGCAAGTTGTTTGCTGTACAGCCGCGTATGTACACACTAAGAATAAGAAGAAGCGACTCGCTAGCAATGGTAAAATCTAGTCATTTGACTCTGAACACACCTGTCTTAAAGAAATTTCTTAATTATCTGTTTGAGTTTGAGTCATGTTTTGCTGCCTAGTGACAGATGGTGTAAGTGCAACTTAATTTTGAGAGAAGTGACAACAAGTTTATATTAAGTGTTTAACTTATTTACAAGTGCTTCTCGCATGACTTTCTATTCTGTTAGCCACTTTTCGATTGGCTTGAACAACTCAAGAGCCCAAGATAACAATAGGAAAAGTGAATGCTCGACTAGTAAATACGCATTAGCTGGCTCAAGAGTATTATATATTTACAATTTTCTATTAAAAATAATAATGTAAAATAATATAGTCGGAAGACTTGAAAAGATTTATAATAGCTAGATCGACTCGACTATTGAGGCTGATCAAGAATATATTTTCTCTAATACTCATTGCTCAACAATTTGAATAGTTGTTATGTCTTGGGTATGTGTCCATTGAACTGGGCACAGGGTATCGGCATTTTTATGGTACTTGCTGGCTTATCAATTTATAAATAAGAGCGTACGAGTATTTTGATCTCGCTGATTGCGGCCAACAGCAGTTTTCATTCTGAACGCAAAGTCGACGCTTGTCGATAGTGAGAATCCGATTTACGAGATGCCAGTTTGGGTTATAGTTGTTTTTAGTGTATTTTTTATTGTAGTATTCATTATTCCGTGTATTGTGCGTCTGACACGCCGTAAACAGGCGATCACAAATCGGGGCAAGTATTAGGCTAAGGCGTTGGCAAATAGTACAAACGAATATCAACACTTAAAACCCAATCACTTAATAGCTAATTTAATTTGTGCTCCGTTTAATTGAATTGCAAATTGATTCTAATTTCGATTACGAACTCTTTTCACTTGCAGCGCCCGTTGTGGTTACATCGGCCACGCACACAGCGCCTGGCGGCTATCCTGTTACACAGATTCCGGCCACAACCTATCAGCCTCATGCCTATGGAACAGCGTATCCCGCCCAGACAACGGGGTAAGTACTGTGCAAGTAGCATCCGAAATTTAATGTCAGCTTATGCTTTATGTACGTATTTCTTCTGCTCCCGTCTCCTAGCAATGTGAGCGTACAGATGCCGATGCCCATGCACATGCCCGGAGCACAGCCACCGATGCCTGGGTAAGTTGGCACATATTCAAGAGCCACAACTCACTAACAATTTATGTTTAATTGCAGTATGCCACCGCATGTTGCCCCATATCCGCCCATGCCGCAGCCGGGCGTTGCAGCGGCAAACATGAATCCACCATCATACGACATGGCCATGGCCAATCCCGGGCCGAGTGTTATGCCCGGCGGCTATGAGAAGCAAATGCCCTACAATCCCAACTATGCACAATAAGCAGAGTCTGTCAGTTTTGTCTGGACAGTTGTTATTTGTTTATGATTTCTTGTCGCGTGCATTTCCGAGCTGTTTACAGCTCACACATAAAATACACAATTCGATATATGCATACGCTTTAGAATTGCTTTAAAATATTAGCTATATCTGTATTAGATCATTATACACCATTTGCCGTTGGGGCGTAATTGGGGTGTCCGAAGCTACCAAAGTGAAGAGCCATCTATTTGTATTCATTGTATTCAAAACACAACAACAATTTCTTAAGTCATTCACAACTGAATGTGATGTAAATGCAATAAGTGCAACTTAATTTTAATTTATATAACTTTATATATATAACATAAGAGAGAAAAAAAAACTTACGATACCGTAAAAGACAAAAGACAAAAAAAATGTATTTATAATAAAAAAGTGAAATGCACATATTTATGTAATTTTATGCATATTTCTGTGTATTTACATTCAACTAGAAATTATGCTCGATGTGATTATTTAGTTCTCTTTAATATACTTACTTATATATGTTACAATTGTTGTCAGTTCGTTTTGAGCTCTATGCTCAGGTTTGTCAAATTAAAAAAAAAAAAAGTATATGCTGATGATAAATATATAAAGAAAATATATCTTATCGTTCAGAGTGTTGTGTTAAGCAAAGTTTAAAGTGAAAATTTGTGCATCGATTTGATAGATCAATGTCTGAAGAAGCCAAAGCATTTTTTTAGTATGCTCTTCAGAGGAATATAACGAAAATTGACCATGATCAAATATTATAGGTACAGATAAGTTTTAACTACAAACTGTTTAGTATTTATTAATATTTGAAATCTGTATTCAATTTGTTTTTCCAAGCTTCTTGAAGAATTAAAAACGTAAGGTATATGTATAACATATAGATCAGAATAAATATCTGTTTGTGAAGCCAATTCTTTGTAAGATCGCACTTCTACATTAAGAATCGGTCAAAAGAAATAACTTCTTGTAAGACAACATATTCCTCAATTGAGTGCCATGTTAGACACTGTACACTGATTGAAAATCTTGAGTGATCTTGGATATGCCATGGATCATCAGATAAATGCGCTGCAGCTAAGTGTAACCAATCGATGTTAAATCCTTTGGTCACGCCCCTGTCAAGCCAATATAAAATAAAACAGCTCATAAGGTTTAAGTTTTAATATTCATTGCCACGTCGGCGCAAGAAGCTGTCCAATAAAATGAAATACAATTTGCTGCTGCCATCGATGTTGCTGCTGATGCTCGATCTGGCTATCGGGGATGATTGTGACATGCAGCAATATTGCCCGTCAGACACCATCCATGTGGCCTGCCTAAACAAAAAGGTAAATGCTGGTCAGAGCTGTCTGTTAGCGGACATTACTTCCAAACGATATTTCAGACAATTGGCAAAGAATGCGGAGCTCTGACACATGAAATCATACCAGTGAACGGTGCTCTGAGACAGAACCTGCTCCAGCATGTGAATATGATGCGCAATATGATGGCCAGCGGGCTGTTTAACCTGAAGGCGGCAGCCCGTATGCCGGTCCTGTCTTGGGATAGTTATCTGGAAAATACCACGCATATGTTGACGTATCACTGCAGCCATTCCAAGTTATGTTCGAATTCGGATACGTACAATTTTGTCTCGACGGTCCTGTTTTCGGGCACCATAAAACGGTCGGCTAAGCTATCCAAAGAAATGACTCGAGTTTTTCTGGCCCTGTGGTTTAATGACCTGCTGGGCTGCACCATGAATGCCAATCACGTAATTGTACCAAGGATCGAGGGGTAAGTACACATTTATATAGTTCAATATAATGTAAATCAAGCGAACCTCTACTTAACATTAGCTCAAAAAGTCCATTGCGAATAGTCATACCAGTTACTTCGATAGTTGATAGTAGCAAATATCGATTTGATCGATAAATAATGCTTATGAATAATTTAATCGATCGATCGTAGAGTGCGTGAAATCGATATTTACAATGGGCAAATTCAAATTGCGAGAGTTTCTTTAATTTATTTTTAAACTAAGGTTTTTTTTTTAAATAATAAATAAAACAAATAAGAATGTATTTTATAATACATGTATATTTGTTATTTATTTTAGTTCCTATTCAAAATTGATTAGATAATGATGGACTTCATTTAATTTAATTAATTTATTTATGCTTATTAAAATACGTATGTTTATGAGTTATGCTTATATCATATGCAACTCTTTTTAAAACTCAAAGTATTCATATACTAAATTTATTGAAGTTTTAAATACTATACAATTTACTCACAGTTCCTGCGTGGGCCACTATATACCTCTGATACAGGATTATGGCGATCGCATTGGCTGTGCGATACGCTTGTCATATGATGCAAAAAATAAAAAAACCGCCCAGGCAAATCTCATCTGCAATCTATCTCGCGCCAATGTGAATGGTATGCCGCACTATGAGGTCGACGAGGTGCCCGGAAGTCGTTGCACCGCTGGAAGGGATCGCATATACCAATTTTTGTGCAGTGCGGAAGAAGTGGTCGATCATAATTTTGTGCCGCCACAGCCACCACCTGCAACAGCCGCACCATGTCAGAAAGTAAATTATATGGAGGATGAGAAAACCGATCCGCTGGAAATGTTGGCCGCAGAAAAAAAATTGAAGGAGCTAAGAGAAAAGGAATATGTAGAAGAAAAGCCAAAGGAGCCGAAAAATGAAGAAGACCAAAAAGAGGAAGGTGGAGCTATGGAGGAAGTTAAAGAAAGTGAGAAAAAGGAAGAAGCGGGTGAAAATTAGGTTAGCATATGTGGAAGAAATAGAAGAAATTGGCAAATGGGAAGAAAGTTAAGCGAAAGAAGGAATACTGTGTGCATATGAAAGAAAATATATAAAGAATTGAAAAAGAAAAAAGTTTAATATAATCAAAAGGAATATGAATAGTAGATGAGCATATGGAAGAAAATGAAAGAGCTTGAGAAATAGCAAGAAGTTAAGCGTAAGAAAAATTAAAGCTACAGGTGAAAATAAAAGTTTAACGATAAAAGAATAAAGGTGAGCATATGGAAGAAAATAAATAAACCAGAGAAATTGACAGAAGTTAGGAAAGCATCATAAAAAGGGTAGAGTTACGTGTGAAAGATATTAGAGAAGTTGAGAAAAGAAGCGATGCATTAAAACAACAAGTAAAGAGAGAAATAGAGCATAATAAAAAGCATAAAATAGTAACAAATAAATCTGATATGTTAGTAGGGTACAAATATACGAACTGACATATCATTTAATTAAGTGGGCTGGCCATGACCAATACGTGGGGTACGTGGCCAATCGGCTGGGCGGGGGCGGGGCTGGTCAGATAGCCACGCTTTGGCGACAAATCGATTGGCGAACCAACTCTATAAGAGACTGTGCGTTGCTGCCAGAGCCGACCAAATGGGCAGCGTAAGCGAAATGTTGTGCATTAACTGGCTGCTGGCAGCGCTGTGGCAGCTGTGCTTTTGGCCAAGCATATTGGCCTTTGACTACTGTGATCCTGTGCTGTGTCCGGGGCCCGAGAAGCACATTGCCTGCCACAATTTTGGCGTAAGTTGTTGCGCACTTAATCTGCGCTGTCAACATACTTACCGTCTGGGCACAATTTACAGGAGCTGGCGGAGAGCTGCAGCCCAGATGCACATGTGGTGCGCATTACCAAAGCTAGGCGCAACATGATTCTCAACGAGCTGAACGAATATCGCGATCGGATTGCGCGCGGAGATCTGATGGGCTTCAATCCGGCCACGCGCATGGCCACGCTGCAATGGGATCCGGAGCTGGCCAGCTTTGCGGAGCTGAATGTGAAGCGTTGCGCTCTGGTTAATGATCATTGCCGCAACAGCGATCAGTTTCGCAATGTCGCCCAGGTTGTGGCCGAGGGCGGCTGGCAGGGTACGCCAAGTGGTGGCGGAAATGCTGGCGCCACAGATTCACCCGTTGAATACCACACCGAGGACGAGGTGATCAAGGCCACGTTGGAGCAAATGTTTGCCGAATACAAGGAGTGCAGCATGCGCGATATTATTGCATACAGTCCGCCCACTAACAGGTAAGCCACTGTTGCTTTATCTCTACGTGCACACATGGGCCGGCATACAGCTGTTGCTTCTGTCGTTGTTGCTGTTTGAATCTCAAAGAATTTTGCATTTACGGGTTAGCAAGTGCATTGCGTACTTCACACAACTGGTACGGGACAGCACCACCCACGTGGGCTGCGGCATACTACGGCAGACGCGCAACACCAGCAACAATGCCGGCCAATCGCTGGTCAGCACGCATCAGTATATGACCTGCAACTTTGTCCGGGGCAACGATGTGAATGCGCCGGTTTATAAGAGCGGCGATAGGCCGGCAACCGAATGCCGCACCGGACGCAATCCGGCCTTCATCAATCTGTGCTCCATCAACGAGATCTATGACAGCAGTGGTATAGTAGGCTTCAGTTTTTACTAAGTGTCTTTAATATGGTTAAAATCAAATACAATTCAAATGCGTCACGAATAATAAACCTTGATTTACTGCATGCTGAGGACCTAAACTAAATATTATTGAAACATTTTTTAATAGATTTGTTGACTAAATATTAAATAGCCCTTTTTGAATTCAAAAACATTTAAATGAAAATATAATTAAATATATTTTTGTTTAGATATTTTAATTGCCAGAAGATGTGGAAATAGTTTGAATCTTAAAGAAAAGAAATATTTTATTAAAAAGAAGAAATTTGCTAGACTTTTTTTATACCCTGAACCCATTAAAAATGGGTATAAGAGTATATTGTACTTGTGCAAAATACAAATGTATGTAACAGGCAGAAGGAAGCATCTCCGACCCCATAAAGTATATATATTCTTGATCAGCACCAATAGTCGAGTCGATCTAAACATGTCCGTCTGTCTGTCCGTCCGTCTGTCCGTCTGTATGAATGCAAGGATCTCAGAACCTATAAGAGCTAGAGACTTAAAAATACTTACTCTTACTCTTACTTGTTTAAAATTCTTTTTGGTCCTTTTCTAAAATCTAATTATTTTAAATTGAAATGTATTCGACTGTTGCTTTTCCCTGTTGCAGCTGCTGACAGTTTATTTATTTATTTTTTTATTTTTGTTATTTTCTGCTGGCACCTACAAGTGCTCTGCTGGCGCAGGTGGTGCTGGGGCATGCCACTCAAAGTCAGAGTGTGGTGCAAAGTTTGCCGACAATTCAGCATCGCGTTCAGCGTTGACAACTTCAGCAAACATTTTTTATCGCTCTCTTGCCACACCTACTAAAATTTTATGCGTTCTTTTTTTTTTTTTTTTGCTATCAGGTTGAGAGAGGTAAAAAATAAAATTAAAAAAAAAAATGCAAACGTCGCATGAACTGTGCGACAACCGCAAATGATGCGCAACAAAATGTGTGAGCAGTTGTTTTTATTGAAATAAATAAAATAAACAAAAAATTAATAACAAAAGTGTTTGGGAAATTAAATGTTTTTTTCCATATAATAAAACACGCTTTTTACAGCCATTAATTTAATTAAATCAAAGCTGTTTTGTTAGTTTTATTTATTTATTAAAAACAATGCATCACTTAAATATTTATTATGTGTGAACAGTTTGATATTTCTTGATATTGCATACAATTGATAATATTAAAGAATTAATATTTATTATATTTTTAAAGTAATCAATTATAAAAAATTGATTTTACTCTGTTTTATATTTGTTTAAATAGTGTAAGGTGCTCGCTAATGAAAACATTTATTTTCGTTTATATACTTATTTTTTTCGTCAAACGTGTCGTATGCGTAATTCAAGTTTTAATCATACTTCTAACTATCGGCACACGTATCGTATGCGCAATTTCTAATTTAAAATTTTCGATCTCGTGCTTAAAAGTGGACACTAATGAAAAAATTGTTTTATATTAGTATACTTATATTTTGCGGCGCACGTGTCGTATGCGTAATGTCTATTGTTTTTTTTTTTTCAAAAAATTGTTTTTCAGCAATGAACTTTAACCGTAAATACGTTTAAGTACCGTGAAAAATGTGTAAGATGTATTTAGTAAATTCTGAAATAGCTCCAATGTAATGGGTCGTATATTGCCGAGGAGTATCTGCATTAGTCAAGTATTCAAGTTAATTCAATGCAGTAGTCAAGTATTTATGTTATCTAAGTGTCTCACCGATGCTGGCCGCTGAGCACGCAACATCATAAATTGTATATCTTTGCGCAGTGATAGATCAAAGGTAAACCAATCGGCTTCAAACGCGGCCCCGGCAATGGCCAAGTTCTGAAATATATATTAAAATCAAGCATAAAGCAGCGAGGACCAAGGCAAAGGCTCACCTGCTCCCTTAGCTCATTGGCATACCAATAAAGGGCCAATATCTGGGCGAGTATCATGTTTATGTACGCACTCACAATGGCCACCTGTGCCGTGGTGTCCATCTAGAGAAAGCACAAAAGGCTGCCAAGAGTCTGTGCAACAACCTTTGAGATACACTTACCAATATGAGCATAAAGAGCAATGCGCAGAGCAGCGCACCGAAGGCCAAAAACTCCACGAGAAATATATATGTAGTCAGCTTATTGATGGTCTGCACATAACTAGATCAATTTTGTTCAGTACCACAAGACCATACACATTTCTAAAGCTTACTCTATGATCCGCTGATGATAGATAATGCATTCGATTATTTCCTGCGAGAGCTGCTGCCTGCTGAGGGGTCTGCGGCTCAGACAACGCAAACGATGCTGCAGCGATTTGCACATCACAATGCCAAACATGATGAAGGCCACACAGAGACTGGTGTAGGGTATGTACATGCAGCAGCCCATCGGTATGATGAGCACTTGCAAGACGAACCAAATTTGATAGGTGGGCGTGGCATACTCATTCACGCCCGGTATTTTGCTGCCAAAGGGCATAACTGCAAGCACACACAAAGCAATTACATTTGCCAGACCCTATGACATTACGTGAAAGTGGCTCTTAAGTTTTTGAATGGGTGCAAGCAAAGCTTTGAGGCAAGTGGATGTGCATTTGGCACAGGTTTTCGATTAAAGTCATTGCATAAATAAACAGGCCTTTCTGGCTATTTTTTTGGCTTTTTTTCAAATGAAATTGGACCATTAACAAAATGGCTAATATCGTGAATATCAGTTAAGTTCTGTCCGAGTTATGGGAAAGGAAAATTGAAATAAATGTAACCCTTTTTATTTGAAAGCCCAAAAGTTGTTGAGAAACTTTGAAGTTTGAACTGAAATTAAAATTGCAAGTGCTTTAAAAGCTTTACGTTTTTGCGATTTATCCAAAGTTGCATTAGTAAGCTTTAATATTTTTGAGATGCTTTTAGAGATGCTTTAAAGCTTGCAACATTTTAAAGCCTTAGCTATTTATTATTATTCACAGCGCACTTAAGGTTTTTAGTTGTCTAAGTTTTAATTCAAGCACTTGCCTGCACTTTTAGGCACTTTTAAGTAACTCATAGCTCACCTCTCTCATTGAAACTAATCGGATATAGACAAAGGCCAATGCAGGTGAGCAGGCCAAGGAATAGATTGCCGCGTGCCATAAGCTGACCCTGCCGATTGAGCTGGACCAAGAGTCGCTCAATATAATTATCCTTCACACGTTCCAGCTCATGGTAGTAGGCTCTCACATTGTCAATCAGCTGGATATAGCTCTCCTGATCGAACAGCAGCAAACAGGCCCGCAATATGGTATTTATCCAAAGCACCAGCATATAGGAGTTGCGTATAATGCCCGTGATGCCCTCGTTGGTGCTGAACATATATAGCAGCTGGGTGAGCACATGGACGATGCTCAGCGTGATGCAGAAATAGCGTTTCATATTTTTATCGTAGAGCAGCGCCCAGAAGCGCAGGATGCGTACGTTCATGTAAATGAATTGTATATCCTCAAGCATATTTGGTGCTCAACTATTTGTGCCCGACTGCGGACAGGTAACTTTTATAGGCTCGCCTGGAGGTATGCCGTAATTATTATAATTTTTGCTTGACTCATGCCACGCCTTGCAAGCGCTCCCAAGCGCCATTTCTGTTGCAATTTTCTTCATTTTCATATTCAGCACCCAGTGCTAGTTTGCTTAAAGAGGGTATTTTAAATTTTGAATATTATTTGTAACAGTTAACGAAATCCCATGAGATATATACCATATAAATATGAAAATCTATTCGGTATAAATCAACAGAAGAGTGGACAAGCCTTGTTTATC